ATATAATGCTATGAATGCTCTAAATAATACTATTGTTGGATGACAATTGGATGAAAATAAATGTTGTAGGATCTTCTCTATTTATAGGCAACAAGGCCTCTGTTCAGAAAAGATGTGACTGAAAAAATATTAACAAATGTGTCTTTTCATGTTGCAACCATAAGCCAAGAAGTGCAATGTTTCAATTTCTATGAAACAATGCAACTTTTCATATATGAAACAATGCAACTTAAGCCAAGAAGTGCAATGTTTCAATTTCTATGAAACAATGCAACTTTTCATATATGAAACAATGCAACTTAAGCCAAGAAGTGCAATGTTTCAATTTCTATGAAACAATGCAACTTTTCATATATGAAACAATGCAACTTAAGCCAAGAAGTGCAATGTTTCAATTTCTATGAAACAATGCAACTTTTCATATATGAAACAATGCAACTTAAGCCAAGAAGTGCAATGTTTCAATTTCTATGAAACAATGCAACTTTTCATATATGAAACAATGCAACTTAAGCCAAGAAGTGCAATGTTTCAATTTCTATGAAACAATGCAACTTTTCATATATGAAACAATGCAACTTAAGCCAAGAAGTGCAATGTTTCAATTTCTATGAAACAATGCAACTTTTCATATATGAAACAATGCAACTTAAGCCAAGAAGTGCAATGTTTCAATTTCTATGAAACAATGCAACCTTTCATATATGAAACAATGCAACTTAACACATAAAGAATTATTATTTTACAAACAAAATAAATAATATTTTATTTTTCCTTGATTAAGAACATGACTATTCCCAATGGATACATACCATTTCATAAAAGTCATGTACTTAAAGTCACAAGTCCCACAATTTAATTTCCATTCAATTATTAAAAAATTAAATATATAATTTTCTAACATTTTTGTCCACCTGTATCCATGCAATCAGTATTCATGTGATCTGAAATCCAATTATTGGACTAAGGTAACATATTATAGCTCCTTGGACTGAGGTAACATTGTTATGGCTCCATATGAACATGAACTTTCAGGTGAACTAATTCATGCCAGTTAGGTGATCATAATATAAAAAAATAGACTAATAGAGGCTACCCAGAAGCATATAACAACACAAGAATTCATTTTGATTCAATCCCGGGCAGTGTCCTTAAGATTCAACTAAGTAGGCGAAATACCATTCTTCCATAAGCTTAGTTTTCTCTTCAATTGGAATTGTCGGGGAGAATTCTAACGGATGATAATGTTCATATAATTCCTGCCTTTTCTTATCGTATTCCGGATTCTCAATGAATATCAAAAATTAAATAAATAAATCTTTCAAACAGATAGTGATAACAAAGAATAAAGTTCAAAGACCACAAAACTTTAAATAAGAAAAATAATGAATCTTTTTCTGGTCGAAGAAAAATAAAGAATTGGATATCAAACATAAGCGTCATTAGAATTGAAAAAGATAAAAAACAAAGGGAATGTAGATGGGCAACCTGGAGTTTGGCGGGACCGGCATTACAAATAGCAGCCATTTTTTTAACCAAGAGCTCAGAGTCACCCACAACCTCCTCACAAGAAGCATGGCTTTCCATGTGGGTCTGGTTTCTGAATCTACCGCTACAAAACCAAGCCCTGCAAACAAAACGCAGAACCCAAAACTGTATAAATAAGCATATAAACAAACACGTAGAGGCCAATAGATTTGGCATGCGAGGAACCTGGAAATTATCTGGGGAGGAATGGAGCGATGGGTGCGTATGGTGGTGCCGAGGAGGATGCTGTGGAGACGATGACTCATTTGAGAGTGTGTTTATATATCAGATTCTTGATCACACACTTATCACTGTTTCTGTTTCTGTTTCTGGATGAGCAGTAAATGATATTTTCTAACGAGTGCTTCTATTTTCATCCATTTGTACTATTTTCTACTCACTATATTTTCAAAATTTTAAAAATAAATTTACCCATTTGTGAAAAAACTTCTAAAAATTTGGGAAAAAGGATTAAAAACCAAAACAATCGTCTCAACCTTAAATTTTAAAAAAGTCAAAAAAATCCGAAGCACAAGTATCAAATGTCAAATTTTTCGCTTCCCAAGTACATGCGCCATCAATTTTGTTTCTTGTTTTGGTCAAAGCCTTCAGCTTGTAACCATTGGCGATTCTTCAAATTTCCTATCTCATATTATTGCACCTTCTCTACCATCCTCTATTCCAAGATTTGATTTAGGGGGTGTATTCAATCCATACTTGTAATTGACATTGCCTTTCTATCAATGAAACTTGATTCCGACCCCAAAAAAAAAAAAAAATTCTATCCATAAGGCTTAATTGCTACAGTGCACCTTGAAATATTGGTTAATTCTCACTTTACCCCCTGAAAGTTAAAGTGACCCACTTTGCCCCCTTGACCAAGGTTTGATGTTCACTTTACCCTCTACCGTCAATTCCATCCAAAAGTCTGTTAAGTTTGATGACGTGACAGGAGTGTTTTAGTAATTTTGTGCACCTAAGTTTTTTATTCACAAATTTGAGTGGGTAATGTGGTAAAGTGGAGCCCACCTCCATCATGGATAAAAAAAATTAATAAAAAATTAAAATACAAACATGAAATTTAAAACTTTAAAAAATTGAACTCTCTCTCTCTCTCATCTCTTCGTTTGTTGTTGTTTTGAGAGGCATGAAACTTCAAAGCTAATTAATGGGTATTGGGGCTGGGGTTATGTGGGAGTGGGGTAGAAAAAACTAGATGGAGGGTTGTTGTTTTGATTTTTGGGACGGGAGGCATGAAACTTGAAAGCTAATTAATGGGTATGGGGGCTGGGGTTCTGTGGGAGTGGGCTAGAAAAAACCAAAGGGAGGGGGCGTTGGGTCTCGATGGGGAAAGGGGGGAGTAGAGAAGAAATCAGTGGGGGGTAGGGGGGTAGTAGGTTTTTGGGTTTTGCCCAGGGAGAGTGGGTTGCTAGGGGAAGAGGGGCAATGGGTTTCTGGGTTCTGCGTAATGAACTTCAGCGAAAAAAAAAATTTGAATGCTTGTCCAGATCGATAATGGCAGTCTCTGAGCAATGTGATAGTAAAATTGATATTTTATTTAAGGAAAAATATTTTAATCAATCATTGGATGAGAATGAAGAGTGATGAAACACTCTTCCTTCTTTAAACAAACTTTCAAAGGAACCAAACCCAACTTGGAAAGTTGTGTTCTTTACTTCCCAAAAACAAAGAAAAGCCAGCCGTGTTCTTTGCAAGGAGGGGTGGGTTGCAGGTGGAGGGGCTATGGCTTTCCGGGTTCTGCACAGGGAGAAGGGTGGGTTGTGGGTTGCGGGTGGGGAGGAGCGATGGGTTTCTGGTGGGTGGGGGGGTTACAAGGACAGAGAAGGAAGGGGTAGATTTGGTGTGATTGGGGAAGAAGGGATGGGTAGGGTTTTTTTTTTGTTTTTGTTTTTCTAAAATCTATTTTATTTTCAATTTTATGTTTTTATTTTAATTTTTGAAAGTAATTAAAAAACCTAGGTGCACAAAATTACTAAAACACCCCTGCCACATCATCAAACTTAACGGACTTTTGGATGGAGTTAACGGTAGGGGCAATGTGGAACATCAAACCTTAGTCAAGCGAGCAAAGTGGGTCACTTTAACTTTCAGGGGGTAAAGTGAGAATTGACCAAAGTTTCAGGGGGCACTGTAGAACTTAAGCCTACTTATAATGATTTTTTTTTAAGTGAGTAACTTTCATAGAGTTATAGATTTTTAATGACTATTATAGAGTTTACAAAGGTAAGTGACAAACTTGTAATGACTTTTATCATGAGTTTTATAGAGTTTTATCTACTTTTTATAATTATTTTATGATTATAAAACTCTTTCATTTCAAACTGCTACACGCCAACTCCCTTCTCTATCTGTATCTCTCTCTCTCTTCTTCCTCATTCCCCCAATCCAAACTATGCTCCTTACTTGAAAACACTGGAAAATCTGAATCTCAGAGCTCAAAACCTATCGTAATATTGAAAAATAGTCATAACCATAGCCATCCAAGACTCTTGAATTTTTTAATGCAACATACCCATTGCGTAGCTACTAACATTTGCGTTTGGTAGGCTAAGGCAAATACACTAATTGCAACTATGGTTTTGAATTGCTAATGATGATTGAATAACACAAAATCTGTTCATACGAAAGAATCTACCTCCAAAAACATGAAGTTCAAGTACTATTTCATTTTGGGATAAAAAATATTATGAAAGACCCGCCTGATCGATTTGATGAGAAACACTATGGAGAGAAAAAAGTTCAGGTACTTGGTTTTTCTTTGTGGGGAAATGATTTCAGATCTCCTTCCTTTCTTTAAGATTTTTGTCTCACATATTAAAGAGAACTCCCATATTGATTTGAGTTCACCCAGGAAAGAAGATGGAGTATGTGGGTGAGTGGCCTTTGGTGACAACGATGATGCAGAGTGAAGATAGGAGAGAGACAAAAAACTTTTAAAAGTTTCAAACGTTTTGTTGAAGAGTTTAAAGTCATTAGAAATTAACAAGACTTTTGGTGTTAACAATGTTGGCGTGAGTCAACGTTCCTATTAGGAATAGAATTTGTTCCTATTAGGAATTTATTGTAATTATCTAATTTGAGTAGAATTAGGAGATTTTGTACATATTTCCTATTTGTACCCCCACTCTGTATGTAGTATATATATTCCTCCTTGAGAGAAGAATAAACATATCAATTTAAACCCTAATTATTTTGAGTTGGTATTAGAGCAGGTCCCTCTCTACAACATCAAAACCCTAATCCTGAAAAATACCAATTTCCGCTGCACCTAGCCTATACACCTAAGCCTGTGCCGTCTTATATCTCTTACTGTCATTGTCGTCTAATCTTCTGCTGCCGCCGCCATCTATCACCATGTCAAATGTCACTAAATCTTCTTCTTCTACTTCTATTGTGACGGTTCATACCGAATCGTCTACCAATCTACCTATGGGATTCAAATTGAATGGATCCAACTATGAGATATGGGCTTCGATGATCGAACTCCATGCTACTACACAAGGCAAATTGGGTTACCTAACTCGCGACACTGATGCCCCTGATTCCCAAGACCCAAAATATGAGAAGTGGAAAATTGCTGATGCTGTTGTGAAAAGTTGGATGCTACGAACTATGGAACCCAGTTTGTTGAATATGTTTCATATTCTACCTGCTGCTAAGGAAATTTGGGATGCTGTTAATTAGATGTTTTATGATGGCTCTGACATATCCCAACTTTATGAACTGCGGTGCCAGGCTACCCGTCTCAAGCAAGAGGGTCGTCCTGTCTCTAAATATTTTGCCGAACTTAAGGCAATCTGGCTTGAATTGGACAAGAGACGTCCTTTTTAGATGAAGTGCGCTAATGATATGAAGACTTTTCATGCTGTTGTTATGGCAGATCGTGTGTATGATTTTTTGGCTGGCCTTGACGATACTTACGACAAGGTCCGCAGTGATATTCTACGGAGTGATAAAGTTCCAAGTATCGAAAATGTATTTTTTATGGTGCGTCGAGAGGCTCAACGCCAGATTACTATGCTTGGATCCGGCACCAAGATTTGGGGAACCTGCTGTTGTGTTTGCTTCCAAAAACACTGCTTTGGTTTCTCGGCATACAGGGTCTGGCTCTTCTGTTGTTCCGCCTCGTCGCATGACTTCTGCAGAAAAAGACAAACTGAAGTGTGATCACTGTGGTGAAAAGAGACATACTATTGACACCTTTTGGGCATTGCATGGGGTACCAGACTGGGAGAAGGAGCGGAGGGGTTTAAAGAAGGAACAACTGAACGTCAAAGCTCATGTGGCTGTTGCCCCCACTTCTATGGTTGACACCACCACTGGGCACGGCCACCTTACTGCTACGCCTCCTCCGACCTTGACCGCGGTCTCAAACACTCCACCACCTCCACCTCCAAGTAACTTTAGCAAGGCTTTCCATGCCCATGACACACGCGATACAGGTTGGATTATTGATTCAGGAGCTACTGACCATATGACGTATAATTCTGCTTTATTCTCTACTACTCTTCCGCCTCATCGTGATCATGTTCTGATTGCTAATAATGTTGCTGCTCCTGTCACGGGGGCTGGTTCTATACTCTTGACACCTGCTTTACCATTGGACAAAGTGTTACTGGTTCCATCTTTGTCTAGTAATTTATTATCTGTGCCGCAAGTTACTGAGCAGTTAAACTGTGTTGTACTGATGTATCCATCTTTTGTCTTACTACAGGATATCCAGACTCGGGAGATCTTTGGTCGTGGTAGTAAAAAGGGGGGGCTTTATTATGTGGATGATGTGGCAACTAGTCGGGTTCTTCATGCTGGTAGCGCCGAAACTTCTCAGCATCGCCGGATTTGGTTGCTACATTGCCGATTTGGTCATGCCTCTTTTGGTACTAAAAAGGGGGGGCTTTATTATGTGGATGATGTGGCAACTAGTCGGGTTCTTCGAGCTGGTAGCGCCGAAACTTCTCAGCATCGCCGGATTTGGTTGCTACATTGCCGATTTGGTCATGCCTCTTTTGGATATTTACGGCATTTGTTTCCAGCATTATTTAGTGGTGTAAATGAGTCTGCTTTCCAATGTCAGACTTGTATTTTAGCTAAGAGTCATCGGGTATCCTACCCTCCAAGTTGTAATAAACGGCTTATGCCATTTGATTTAGTTCATTCTGATGTTTGGGGGACCTTTCCCTGTTTCTACAACCTTGGGAGTTCGTTGGTTTGTGTTATT